ATAGAGTCATCCATCCATGGAGTCGATGGGAAGATGGGAAATTACAAGTTGTATACCCTTGAAACGTAAGCAGGTAATAATGGCTGAACATATCCTGCCATGGAAAACATAAAAAGGAATTAAAATACTTTTGTTAAAATCATTTTGGTATTTTTTGTATGTGCAAATCTATAGCTATTTTTATTTCTGGAAATATTTTAATATTTTGCAATACACTCCCTTTTAAGCAAAAAATTAAATGGAAAAGCAAAAGTGCATGTTTGTTGAACAATTAAATATTGGTTTATCATCTCTCAAGATATTTTGATGTTGACTATATAACTTCCAAAAAAGGTTAGCTGACATTTACTACCCACTATCCTCAAGGGACATAACGGTACATGTAAATAGAAGATGACACTTTGCTAAGCACCATCAGTATATAGTACAAAAGAAATGTCTTTTGGAGACTGAGTCCAAAGTAAACTATTTAAAACTTGCATTATATTCAGTATGTTTATCTACGACTCTTTGAAACATGAGTTTTCATTTAGATCAGATGACTGCTCATCTCAATTAATTTCACTTATTTTGATCCCAAGATTTCTTTTGTTTAAAAGAAAAATGAAGTCATTGCTTTTATTTTTGACCCATTAGTAGAAAAAAACTCCACAAAGAACTCCATGAAAAGTTAAATGAAGTCAATTTTATGTCAGTGTCATCAGATATTTCAAGTAGAAAATAATCCCAAAAGTGGTTTAATTTTTCCATCCAATTTACAGAATCTAAGTAAAGCTTTTGGAAGTGTATTTTGTCATAGATTAACTGCATGACATTATTGGAAATGCAATTGTAAATTCTTCACAAAGGGCAACACTAAAAATAAAATTACTTGGTTTTGCAGTGATCATAAAAAAGAAATTTGGAGTAATGTGACATTATAGTAAAAACAGTGTTTTTAACAAATTAGGAAAGTTATGGAGCAGAAACATATGCAGAGCTGGCCACAGTTATTTGCGCATGAACTGCACATCAAGTAGAAGTGGTACTGTTTTAGAAATAATTTTATTTTGGAAATTTACTTTTGAGTAGAGCTACTATATAGTCCCACCAATAAAGTAAGAACAGCAAATTACCCAAAGCAAAATAATTTTAAAATTTTATCACTCCCACTATTTTTGCCTCCTTTTTAGCTCTCACACCTGTCCTGGTTTGAATGGTCAATTATATGATTATCCTACCTATTTAAATAAAGGTATCATTGCCCATCCATTGAACAAAGACATCAACCAGAAGGTCATTTGACTCATCTTATCAGTCAAATATCCAGTCACTAAATAATCTTAATTTTAACTAAATTCCTACTTCTCTGTCACTACCTGAATTCAGTGCCTTGGCAGTTTTCTTCAAACTTGCTTCAAAAGACTTGTGTCTGGTGTTGCCTTCCGAATCTTTCATCTTTTCAATGTACCCTCCATACCTCCGTCAAAGTGATAGTTACTTAACATCATTTGAAAGTTCTCAATTTCCTACAGACTGAAGTTCGAGCTTGTTGTCATAGAAGGTTTCTGCTTAGCTTTCACACGTCATTTCTTGCCTCTTACCTCCATGCGGCCTTCGCTCCTGCCGTGTCTGTGCATCAGATATACCATTTTCCTTCAGGACAGGAGACGGACAGAGCTGGCTGAGTGAGTCCCTTAACAGGGTTTTCTCCTATTTCTCTGCTTGGCTCTTAGCCTATGGTACATTCCAGTACCATAGCAGTTAACATACTCTATGGTAATTGTGGACTTGCTATCTTCCTCTGTAAACTGAGTTTCATTAGAACAGAGTCCATATTTCCTTTAATATCCCGAGTAATGAAAGTACTCCCTTACACATCCCCCCCCAAAAAAAGTGTAAAAGTGAATACAAGATAGAAAAATGACTGCTGTAAAGAGAGAGGAATGAGATAACTTATCTCCAGACTGAGAGAAAGAGGGGGAAATTCACACAGAATCTGAATTTTTCATTGATTTTGTGGTGTGTATAGAATTTGAATGTGTAAGGATGGAGAGAAAAAAATCTCGGGCAGAAAGTACTGCTGAAGAATATAGAAAGTATCTTGGAAACAGTGAGAATTTAAGTGCGGGTAGAGTGAATTACAATACAAAGTCAAGTGGTGAAGGTGATCTGAAAGGTCCAGATCCAGATTCCTGCATGTCAGTCTGAAGCTCAAGCTTTATTCTCTTATGGATGGGAAATATTCTGAGTGTTAGAATAAGAGTTATGCATTCATGTGCCATCTCAAAACTATATGAGAGATGGCTTCAAAAAAGGAAAAGAAAAGGAGTAGTTAGGAAATCATTGCACAAGCTAGATGAATGAGAAACAATGCTGTCCTGGAGCCAGTCTGTACTTGCTAGTGAGAGCCAACGGCTAAGTTTTCAGGAATTTTGTTGAGTCAGTTTTATACATAGTCCTTATTAAAAGTAAACTTGCAGTTAAATAATTTCCATTAAAAATAAAGGTAATGAATACTCAAAAGTACCCACTTCATCCTTTACTATTATGTACGCATTTGTGGTTACACTTGTCTGTGTTGTGCACATAAACTAGAATGATGTACTCTTGAATATTTCATCCCAACACAGTTTTAGTGACATTGTGATGGTAGCTTAAAATTAGTCCTTATGGAGTATTTACACTACAGTGATTGGCAAATGCTACTACATCCTGACTTGACTTTTTGTCTTGGTTTAAGATAGCAATGAAGAAACTTATAATAATGAAGATTAAACTTAAAAGTAGGTCATATCCATAGTCATTCCATGGGGAATAGCACAAAAATTCATAGGATATTTTTCTAATAAATTTTATTACCTAGATGTTGCCCATCTTATTATTGAAGGAGTATAGTTCCAACATCTGCATTTATTTTTTAAAAATGTATCAGAACTTCTTTTTTTTTGTCACTTGCAACTGCTGGTTGGCTGTGGGTATGAGAGTATGACGAAAATGAACAAATGCATTGTGTGAGAATGAACTAGATCTGTGAAATTTACAACAAAGAACAGTATATATTTTATTGTAATTTTTAAATTGTGTGCTACACATCCTTTTTATTGATAACATTTGTAATAAATATAAGTATGTTTTCATGTGCATATATATCCATATACATTTTTTGGTGGGGCTGAATGTCATATTGCACACTGCTGGCAATATGATCTTAGCAGTAAAAATGGGGAAAAAAAGAATGCTTTCAAAAAAATATTTGGAGGTTATGTTACAGAATACGAAAGCTGAATGTAAAGGAATGAGTGGTGATTCAGAGTTGTATGAGGCTTTGAGGCTTGTTGAAATATGTACTTTGGAGAAATATAAAGCACAAGTAGAAAAGATTTATGTGGAATAATAGTTGAGTTTTTGACCACTGTATAGACTTGGGAGTCATCTGCACTGAGGTGTCCCTAAAGTCATTGTCAAAACTATAAAAGGGAGAAAATAGCCTAGAGAGATCTACCTATAAGAGGAAACCTAATCTTAGGGGAAAGGGAAAAAAGTGGAAATGCAGAGAGAGCATCAACAGTAATCAGAGAATCAAGAAGAGATCAGGAGACTATGGTTGGGGTCAAAGGAGCCTGGTAAAGAGGAAATGTCATGTAGGACATTATCAAAAGAAACGGGGAATTTGAAATCAAAATCTGTGAGTATTTTTGTTTGAAACCAGAAACCTAAAGGGGAAGAAAATTAGTATTTAGATCAGAACAGGTCACCATAGGTGACAGTGAAAGAGCAGATGATGTAAATGTTCTCATAAAAGAATCAGGAGTAACACAGGTAATTTGTATCCAAGAATATCTGTAGATTTGTTTAGAACCATCAATCCCCAATTAAACCTTAGAGGATTGCATTTAGCCTGCCTTGACAGAATCATAGATATAGACTGTAGCTTCTGAGAGTGGAAGAGCCTTTGAAAAAATTTGCCAAATACCTCAAAATCAAACCTAGGAATAGTGATAGTTGTTGGCAATTTCTGGCATTTGGGGCTCTCAGTTACTCACATGAGAGCAGACCCTAAAAGCTAATCCAAGTACTTACAAGGTGAAAGACATGTGGACTACACACCTAACACAGACACAAACTCGTAACTGAAGAAGTGTGAGCTTTATTTGATAAGTGCTGTGACAGAAAATGGATTTATAAGGAAACTGGACAGCAGGCTCTGCCAGCTTTCTCATGATTCAGGAGGGTCCCACCATACCGAGCAGCAAGAAGCAGCACTGCAGCAACATTAACAGGGCAACTCTGGCCTTTCTGTTTCCCACAGGTGCAACTAAAAATCAACAAGACCAAGTTCTATCTGGAAGTCTGCTGTGTCCCTCAGTTATACATGAAGAACTGGAATTTTCTAGAAACTGGAGAACTGGACCCAGCTAGTCCCTCCTGAGACTTGGAAACTTATGTCCTAACTATTCTGGAGATCTTACCTTGAAAATCTACTTTGAAGAGATTTTCCCTACAAAATTAGATCTCTAGAAGTGACTTGCTTTTTATTAGTATTGTTGTCAATATTATCATTTTATGATTTCTCTCTTGTGTATAGCAAGGTCACTTGATATTTAATATACTTCTTTGGCCAAAGCTGAGGTGGAATCACTGTGAAAGTATGAACATATTGCACAGTACTATTTTTTTAATCCATTAAAATATTTCTCTGTGTGAGTTTAAAGGCAAGAAGAATGTTATCTAAGGGGGGTAGGGAAAAATCAGGTATATATATATATATATATATATATATATATATATGCCCTCTTTCCATATAAGGTCACATTCTGTGGTTCTGAATGGGTATGAATTTGGGGGGGGGTGCTATTCAACCCGCAACAGCTCATAACTGAGTTCAAAATTTTAGGGAATATTAAAATAATAATAAGAATTACAGATTGAAGTTTTCTAAGTAATAAACACTATATTCGGATTTATTTTGTATCATGTTATCACTCATTTTTCATTTAGTTTAATTTCTCCTTCCGAAGTTGCTCCTGTCTCAGAAGGCTATGTGTTACTGATGTGAACGGATAAATTCACCCCTGTGGTTGGTATTTATGGGAACGAAGGAGACAGGTAAGCTGATGCACTCTTTCTAAATATTTGACCCACAAATGTAGCCAGACACTTAAAAATAAAATCTGTGTTTCCTAGCTGTGTAGCTATATTAATATCAGACTAAGTGACTTCAAGAGAAGAAGTAGTGCCAGAAATAAAGAGGGCATTTCATAATGAGAAAAAGTTCACTTTATCAGGAAGACATCTTAAATATGTATTTGTCTAATAAGAGTCTGAAATCCGTGAAGCGAAGAGGAAGGTGTACTTAAATCCATAATCATAGTTGGGCATTTTTAGTACTCCACTCTTAATAATTGATAAAACATATAGACCAAAAAAATAAGTAAGATAGATAATATTTGGATGGTAATAATTGCTTCTCGGCCTTTTGGCTAAGATCAGGTGTAATATATGGATGGTAACGTCAACAGTCTTGGTTAAGACAGTATTTTATAGAACATTTATCCGACACTGTAGAATACATATTCTTTTCAGGTACATATAGGATGTTAACCAAGGTAGACAATAGTGTAGACCAAAAATATAACTATCAATGTATTTTTTTAAAAAAGGAAACTGTACAGACTACATTCTCTAACTATAATAGAATTACATTAGAAATCAGTGATATAAATTTTCTTTCAAATATTTTGAAATTAAAAGAGGGTTATGTTCTGTGAATAAGATCTCAACTCTGACAAAGAGTGCCAATAAAACAATTTATTCAACTCTATGACTTCCAGGTAAGTAAAGAAAAATCTCCACTAAACTGATCAAGAAAATTAATACTCAAAACCAAGTAATCCTTTTAAAATTTATAAGTAATAGGGCTCTGCAAAGTTAACTTATGTACTACTATTAACATCAAAAAAAGATGCATTCAGCATTATAAATAATCCTTGCAGTTATTTTAGGATTATTTAGGGAAATACTCTATGTTACTTTTCATGGTCCCACCTTGCTTTAAAACCACTAGAATCTCACAGACCTCCCTGGACCTGCAGAGGACATTGCCAATCATCTTGGAAAGTAAAATAAATGCTTTTTCCACATATGTTAATGCCATTGTTTATTGACTATTTACTCAGCTCTGAGGTAATTGGGGTCATTAGGGAAAGAGAAGAAACAAAGGTCCTATCAATACCTGACCTTTTGTAATAGCGGGTGCAGGCTGCCTTACTGCGTGTCAAACCAGCTAGCCCTTCCGTGGCACACAGCTGTTCCCGCAGTGCAGGCAGAAGCAGAGGTGCCATTCCTCGTGGAAAACTTTTTTTTGGGGGAAAAAAAATCTTCTGCTGTAGACATGGTGTTTCAAAAATCAGACAAAATATATTTCATGGAAAATCTATTTTGAGATCGACATTCATTTGAAAAGCTAAAACTAGCATCCGGATAAAAAAAGGAAGGGATGAAACATCAAACTGAAAATATCTTTCTATATTGTGACATTTTCGCAAATGTAAATGAGACCACCTTTAAGGCTGTCACAAGCAAAGAAATTCAACTGGGGTCTTGATGACTGAAGGGATGTTAAAGAATCTCTCATCAGCGGACCAGAAAGAATAAAGCAGAAGCTATCACTGATGTGCAGATGTTATCAGGATGTGACTTCAGCACAACCTCACATCCCAACAGAGACAAAACGGCAGCTGTTTAATATATTACAGGAACTAACCACAAATTCTGTTTTGCTCTCCGACTTTATAGTGTTTAATTTTTTTAAAGACATGAATTGCACTTTTGAAGAACTTCCTCTAATCTTAATGACTTTGTAAGTCTGAATGTCTACTACTAGGACGCGGGGATTTCTGGGTAAAGTGGCAGAGCAATTCCCACCTGGGGGTGGGGCAGTGTGAAGGCTGCAGGGGAGGGATTTGTGTGAGAGCTCAGATGCAGATGGTGGGAAGGGAGTTCTCATTGTTGTGTGATAATGGAACCCTAGGTGTGAAATAGAGACCTTGCACTGATTTCACAACAAACCTACTTGAAATCTGCTCATGTCCTGGCAAACCAGAAGAATTCATAGAAACTCAAATTTGTTAAATAGAGTAGAAAATATTTGGAGATGTGAGCAAATAGTTCTGCCCAGATGACATCTTCTTTTTAAGTTAAAAATGATAAGAGTGATGAGTTAATAGATTATTCATGTTGTTTCAAAAGGAATTATTTGCCGTGGTGAGAATTCTCTTTGGGGGGGACTGCTGGGTTTTCATATTTATGGTCATGAAGCTAGCCAGTTGTAAAGTTGTGGAAAAGTTGTACCAAGACCTATATTTCTTCATTTTGATTAGTTTAGACACAGTCATTTTCCAGGAAAGTTTTGTTTTCCAAAAAACCAGTCCATCTACTCTGTTCAGATGCTGTTTTGACCCCATCTCTCAGTGGGTGTGGGCGGTTGGGGTGGAGTAGGTCAGGTGGGTACCTTCTCTTGCCGCCCAATGACAGTTTTTCTTCTCTTCCTCAGGGAGCCAACCTTGCCCTTCAGGGCCTTTGTGCCAAACAAGCCTACATTGTCTGCATCAAAAGGAGAGAAGATTACAGAATAAAAACGTAGCAAAAGGAGAAAAGGTAATTTTTGGAAAAAACAGGATGGCATCTTTGAGATTAAAAACATAAACCATGCTAATTGTTTAAAAATATAATTTACAATCAAAAGCGTAAACATAGGAAGTATATTCAAGATTTTCCTTTTCCTTTTAGTGGAAGTGATTAAGCCTGGTTTTTATAAAGATGAAAAAATCAGAGACCGATATCACCTAGAATTAGAACCAGTTTAATATGTATTCTTGAAAAAAATTTTCTTTGAGATTCAGGAAGGCATAAGGGGGGGGGGGTCACATATTGTACTTGATTCCAAAGGGAAGATATAGAGGAACAAAATAAAAAGTAAGCCTTGCTTTATCTTAGAGGGCTCAAATAAGCAAATTCTATTCTGATGATTAGAAACAAATCAAACCAAAGGCAAAGCAATTCCTGGTTTTAAACCAAAGACAAAGCAACCCCTGGGTTTCAAGCACATTTACATATTTATGTCCACATGGAACGAATGCAGTAGAAAATGAACACAATCCATCCGTAAAGGTTGGTTTACTGTGGGTCCGTGTTCTCTTTATGTTTCTAGTTCTATTGCTCAGCACAGTGCTGGGCACATACATTAACACTGTCCAATGATGTTTGAATTAAATCATTGAACAAGAGCAAAGACCCTGATTCTGGATATTAGACAAAGTAAAAGATTCAAATACTCGAAAGCTTTAGTACTCTCTCTGTCTGAAGGACCATCTCAACTTGTAAGAAAACTTTGTGTAATTTTATGCCAGGGTAGGCAACTACAGAGGGAATGAAAGAAGTTCTTCAGTGTAAGGTGGTTCCACCTTCTGCTAAGATGTGACCGCCAAAAAACTCAAAATATTTTGAGGAGATGCTATCTGCCAAAGGGATTACCACAATACATGTAGGATCAAAGAAAATTCCACATTTTACCCTGGTGATTAGCTGTAATTAAATAAAGTAAGTCTTTTTAAACTTCATTAACAGCAAGACGTTTGCTACAGCAGAGTGGGCACAAATCATCCATTCTTAATTAAAAGATAATCCACAGGATGGCCATAATCTTCTTCTAAAAATACACCATTTCCCCCTGAAAGATTTTCTCATCAAATAAGGATAAATAACAGTTTCTATGAGTTTAAGCCATGAAGGAATGGAAGCTCCTCCCGTTTGCTTGAGTGAGTGCTGAATGTGGCTGATAACATCACTTTGGCATGCTATTATCTAAAATGGTAGAATACCTCACTTCAGCAAAGTCTGACATAAATCTTTGAAAACAAAGACATTGCATATGTATGAGCTGAAATAGATATGACAGTGTTGGCACATTAATATTCCTGTCACTAGGGGGTTTCAAACTTTTAAGGAGAGAATGGGAATGAATTCAGACTGTAGCTGGTAAAATAGGGCAACATACAGTAGGACAATTAGGCATCGCGAACCGTAGTAAAATATGTACAGAGAAAGGGGTTCCCCTGCTCCCTGACTTTGGTAAAAAATGACTGTGAGATTATCTCTGGGGAATGCCAGGAATAATTAATTTGGTTTAGAGATTTGCACGGTTGTTCTAAGCATACTAATAAGAATGTTCCGTGAAGACCAGTCCCAATCAATAGACCAGAGAGCTGTGTCTTTCTTACGTGGCCACTGTGGTGGTTCATGGGTAACAGATGCTTCCACTTTATTCCACAACAACCCTCATTAAAAGTAACCATGAGGCCTAATTGAATAGTCCTCCTTTTTGTTGGATTTGTGCAGAAAATCGTCCTATTATTGTATGTTCTACAGTCATTTCTTTTCCCGTTTTTGCTTGCTGATATGAAGCGCTTTACCATAGCCCTTTTGCTTAACTCCCCAGGAAGAAGTAAACGGGTGAGAAAATAAACTTTTTACTCCCTCTGGCTCCGTAGGGCCTTACTATGTGTTGGGAAGTATCTACTTCAAAATGCCAACTATTTTTAGAAAAGCCTGATAAATCATCACATTCTCGAAAATCACCACTTACTGGGGAAGATGACATAACAGTTGCCTTCGATTTCCCTAGGTCTGGGGGTGAGCAAGAGTTATTCAACATTAGGTCTTAATGAAAAATCGTCACCAAGTTCCACTTACCGTGTTTGAAGCCGATGTTGAAATGTTAGAATTTTTCTTTTGGTAAAACATATGCATTGACCTGGTGAGTGGAAATGAGGGGGTGCATAAAAGATTGTTTTTGTTTGTTTGTTTGTTTTTTTTACCAAAAGCTTTTTGGACACGTTGCTGAAGCCCTGGGAGGCTTGGTCTGAGCCCTGAACAGCAGTTGCCCAGATGCAGAAAAAAGGCTTCAAAACCTCTCCTTTGACAAAGAGACATGAAATAATATCTGACAAAGGCATTGCAAGCAAACATGATGGCAAATCAGCAATTATACGGGCTACAAAGGAGAGCGCATCTCACTTCCAAATGTCTTTTTTCTTCTTCTTCAAATTTTACTAATAACATCTCATAGAGGTGCTTAGGTCAGTATTTTTAAAAACAATTTAATATATGACCATGCTTTGGGTTTGGTTTAACTCCTTTATTACACTAATGCTATTTGGCATTTCATGCATGTGTCAGCATTGTTTTTGAATGGCAAAAAAAGGTTGGGACTCAACCAAGCACAAAGAAAGACACTCGCAGCTCACTCTATGTAACTTTGTTTTAGAAAGGAAAAATATTCCACAGAGATTGGTTAAATGCCAATGCGCAAAATGCTGCTCTCTCTTAAACGGAGTCACATGTGAAGAGAGGAGGACCTATAATAAATGAAAGAATAATGGTGATAAAAATGGCAGCAAAATTGACCAGATCCAAATTGCAATGCTCCACTCTTTAATCTCAGAGTCTCTTTAAATCCATTGTTCTTGATCTTGGAAAACAAGGAAGAGGCAGGCTTTGAAAAAGGAGTTACAAGACTAAGTTTCAAGGTGAAAATATTTACTTTT